TGAGACTCTCTCTCTATCTCTCTCTGTGCTTTGTCTATGTTATGTCAGAAAACACAAAAAAAGTCAGTGCTTTCACTGCTTTGTAGTTTGTACGACTGTGCTATAACCGTGCTGAATCTGCTGATGTCTGTTACACCTCTTCTCTATTTCTGTGCTATCAAAAAAGCACGTGCTATCAGTGTGAATGTGCTATCACTGAATGTGGAATGTGCTATCAAATGAATGACACTGTGCTATCTATATCTGTGCTAAGCTAGTTAGCATGAAGGAACGACCAGTATGACGAGCAGGCTCATAGCAAGAAGTAATCAGCGACCTGGAGCCAGTGGCGCAAGCCAAGCGAGCCCAAGCTGGTCCTGCCTGCACCGCGCTGCCACCTACAATACCCCAGCCCCCACCCCTGAGGACCCATCTCACATTTGTTATTTGTTCTGTCCTCTTCTACACCCCACGTATGCTCTTCTCCCTCTCCCCCTTCCCCCCCCCACTACCGTCTTCCCCCGAACGTAACGCACCCTATTGTTTAAGCCCGGCAACCGAGCTCAACGTCGTTTTTTTAATTTTTAATTTTTATTTTATTTTTAATTTTTTCTTTTTATCAACGTCGTTTTCAATCCTCACGCATCACCATTCTTCTTTTTTTTGTTCTTTTAAAGCTAAAAGGTAGTTATTTTGAGCCCAACCCATTGAGCTCAACCCATTGAATTACCTGTCAAATCTGGCCGTGACGGCCTTTCAGGCCTTTTAATTATGATAATTATAGTATTACCTTTTAATTAGGATAATTATAGTATTACCTTTTAATTATGATAATTATAGTATTACCTTTTAATTATGATAATTATAGTGTTATTACAAGCTAGCGGCCAGCCCATGTTCAAGCCTCGAACGAGGGAACATGCAGAGGCTGCACCCAATCTGTAGGTGGGCGATACCAGCCAGGGGTCAGCCGGTAGCATCAGGACCGAGCTTTCTTTCGTCGATGGGGCAGTCGTTGTGCCTCCCCTCCGGTCCCCTTCCCCCTACCGTCTTCCCCCGAACACAACGCACCCGTGTTTTGGCTGTATCTGGTCGGAAGTATAGCTTGTATACATTCATTTTTAGGGTGCGTTATGTTCGGGGGAAGACGGTAGTACAAACATCAGCACTCTCTGCTCAGTTCCGCTCGGGTGGATCAGCGGCCTATCCCTACCACCGTCTTCACCCGAATAGAACGCCCGGTCATTATAGCCGTACCTGGACTCGAAATTGTACCAGATACCAGATATTACGGCTATAATGACCGGGCGTTCTATTCGGGTGCAGACGGTAGGTGGCCGGTGCCGAACATGCATGCCCAGGAAGGTACATGAGGCCAAATTAATGGGGATTGAATCATTGAACGGTTTTGAACCCAAGACCTCCGGCATGTCACTTGCGTGGCTTACCAACTGAGCTCGGCCGCTAGATAATCTGACACGTGTACTGCCACTTCATCTCTCTGTTTTTTTTTGTTTTTTTTTTTTTTTGGTCTCTCTGTTCGTTTCGTCCCTT